CCGCTCAGTGAGACGCAGCATCTAAGACGCCTGGCAGGACCTACTCTGGCTCTGCGACCTCCGAGGGTTCTGTGACTCTCCCTGGGCCCACATTCCCCATTGGTGCGGTGGGAAGAGCGCCTGTATGGAGTAGGGAAAGGAGCTCTGAAAGGGCTCAGCACACAGTAGGCGCTCGACAGATGAGCACCCCAATCCTTCTCCCTTGCGCTAGAATGTGCTTTACTGACCCCGACAGCAGCAGGAGGGTCAGGGTGAAGGGTGCCAGGCTCAAAGTCCAGCCCTGCCCGTTGTACACTGTGGGCCTCTGGGCAAGCTGCTCACCCCTTCTGAGCCTCAGTTTCTCACCTGTGAAATGGGGACAGTAATAAAAGCCGCCCCAAGGGGCAGAAGGCCAATGTTGTAAGGAGGCCAGTACTTAGGACGTTCCTGAAAGGGGTCAGGTATTCACTGGCTTGGGCACTGCCCTCCGGGGCATTCAAAGCCGTTGGGAGCACTGGTGATTGTGGGCCAGGGGCTGGTGGGGTTGAGCCCTGGGCAGTGTCGTGCTGCTGGGCCCAGGGGGCCGGGGGGTGCCCAGCACCTGGTAATAGCCCTGGCTTTTTAACAGCTCTGATGTGTTAATAGGCCCTGGAAGGTTCCCGGATGCTGCTTCCCTCTCTCCTGGGCTCACGGGCCTTCCTCTCCGGCCTCCGGCGAGGTTTGGGTCGGGCCCCTCTCCGGTCAGCCGTCCAGCCCTGCTGCTGAGCCTGCTGCCGAGCGGGCAGGGAACGCTGTCAGGGCTCCAGGGAACAGGCCAGCAGTCTGGACCTGGCGGCGGGAGGCGTGATGCTGGAGGCCTCAGGTGCTGGCCTGAGCTGGGAGACATCGCAGGGAGGCCGGGGGACCCACGGAAGATTCAGACAAGTGGCTGCTTGCTGAGAGCCGCGGGGCGGGGGCCGGGCACCTGGGGGTGCGGGGCGTGCGGGCAGGAGAACAGAGGGCCCAGAGGGCAGCCCACGCTGTCAAGGTTGTCAGCAGGGATCCAGGGGAAAACATTTTGGGTGAGCCCAGGAGGTGGCAGCCAGCTGCCCAACCCCCTACGCCCCGCGGCCAACCCCAGGTGAGCTCAGCGAAGTCCCTGGCTGTCCTGCCTTTTAAGGCGATGGCGGCTCCCACCACCTCCTTGTTCCCACTTGCTCAGACATTCCCAGAAGGTACTTTTTTTTTCCAGGAGGAATGGAATGAGACTCTTTGTTCAGTCACCGCAGGACTCCAGCAGCGAGGCCTGTCTGGGGGTTCCGGTGGCAGGGAGCACACTCGAGCAGGCACTCAGGGACGCGCCCTCGGTGACACGCATGGGCACGGGCCCCCGACCGCAGGCCCACAGAATGCCTGGGGACCCTGGTCTGCGACACCCAGACACCCGCGCAAGCATGGGTGAGTCCCAGAGATGTGGGGGATGACATTTACTGAGCACCTACTACGGGCCAGGCCCTGGCTAGGGAGGCAGGAGGGAGCCAAGCCCCGAGCCCTTCCGTCACTGAGGTGCCTCCCAGGAGTCTGAGCCCAGAAGCCTTTTCCGCACCGCAGGGCCTTTGCACCTGCCGTTCCTGCTGCTTGGCTTGCTCTCCCCGCGGAGCTCCAGCAGGCTGGCTCCTTAGCACTCCCGGGTCTCAGAGAGGCCTCCCCCGCCCCTCCTCTCGACCCCAGTGGCCTGTTTGGTATCTTCCCAGCACTCATGACTTCTAAGACGGCCTCGTTTGCCAGTGTGCACCGTCTGCCACCCCCAACTAGACCCTTGAGAGAGGGTCTCAAGCTCCTTGAGAGAGCGCTTGGCGCTCACCGCGGCTCCCAGCACCTGGAGGACGGCCGTGTCCAGGTAGCACTCAGGACGTCTTCAGTGGGCTTCGTGCTCACTCTCACACATATGCACACGCACACACATTGAGCTTTCACACTGCCGCCAGGAAACCATTCTTCATCTTAACCACAGCGAATCCAGCCATTCGTGCACCCACTGGGCCTTCCCCATTTGGTGCCACGGCCACCACCGAGGTAGCAAGTCACCACCAGATGGGACCGAGGCTTAGGCCCATTCCAGGTGCCCAAGGTCACACTCACTGGCCAGGCACAGGGCTGAAATGAGGATGGGGCGGGGAAATGGTCAGCATCCAGGGGGCTAAGCCTCCAGGGCAAGTGAGCCCGCCCCTGAAAATACCTTTCTGTGCACATGTCACACGTGTGGGGACATGAGTGGTGACAGCCGTCACTGGAGTTGCACCTGCAGTGCCGGGTGCATGCTGCAGTGTGCATGTTCTCAGCCTGGGAGCACACACTCTGGGGGTAGGGGTAGGGGTGGGATGGGGGTTGTTCTCTGGACCCTGCACCCACAGAACCACCACGGCTGTCTAACCCCGAAGGGATACAGCCCTGGCTGCAATGTCAGACTGGTAAAGCCCTTCCCACCTGGGCTAAGTGAGCAGCAGGGTTCCCGGGCTGGCCTGACGGTGGAAGGCCCACTGGGACAGGCAGGTAGGGCCCGCCCTGGACCTGACCGGCTTAGGTGGGCCCCATGCCTGGATGTGGCTCGAGCAGGTCCCCACAGCTCTGCCTGTGGGCTTCAGTCCCAGGGGTGAGCAGAAGACACCCTGAGGGGAGGGGACTCTGCCCCCTTTAAAGCTGGTAGGAAGGCCATCCTGCAGGGCTGAGGGGCGGGCCCAAACCGGTTGGCACCCCCTCTCACCCCCTGGTGGCTCCATCCTGAAGTGCAGCTCTGGCCCCTCCAGGCCCTGAATCCTGAGCAGATGGAAGGCACTCAGGGGTGGGGGTGGGGGGGGGGGCGCCTGCTGCATTAGCCCAGGGGCCCCGAAGGGACTTCAGAGACAGACACATGGGAGTCCCAGCCCAACTGCTGCGCTCTGCTCTCCAAGCCTCCCTCTCCCTCAGGACCCACGGCCCACCTCCCCTGGACCTCGCCCTACACGTAGGGCCTTCCTTCTCGGGGGAGCTCGGTTCACTGGGAACCAGAGGAACAATGTACACAGGGTCTCAGTCCACCAGCCCCCATTGCTACCCTCTTCCCAGATTTAAGGTCCAGGGGAACCAGAACCTGCTGGTGACCAGGCTGTGTGACAGGGCAGTGCTGCTCCAGCCATGGTCTGAGTTTGCTGGAGCAAAGCACGCCACAGCCAGGTGTGGGGAGCAGCCTCGATCCGCGGGCTGTGCCTGGCTGGCTGAGGCCAAACTGGTCCCCAGCTGGCAGTTCTGAGATCACCCGCCTGGCTGCTGTGAGCTTAGAGAAGCCTAAACACCCATTCAGGGGTCAAGCCTGGTCCATAGCAGGTGCTCAACATGCAAGTCAGCACACAGCACAGGGTGGGCACCTCCTGGAGCCGGAGAGGGGCGGACCGAGCCCAGTCCCTGGGGCAGACCCAGGCCAGAACGGGTCCAATGACCTCCTCCAGCCAGGTGAGCCCATTAAAACCACCAGGGCCCTCCCCCGAGTCCACACCGAGGTGCTTCTTCCCAGTTCCAGGTGCAGCGCAGCCTGTCCTCTCCCAGGGCCAAGGCTGGGCTGCAGGTCACACAAGATCCCCAACAAGCCTTAACTGGAGCCTGCTCCCGCGTGGATTAGCAACTGAACAGCTCAAGTGCACACCCAGCAGATCCAGCGTCTGCCCTGCCCTGCCTGTCAGCTAGCAAGAGCATCGGGGACAGCGAGTCCTTGTCACCTCTTCCCCTTCTCCACAGCTGCCACCCACGCTGTGCAAACACTTCTACAGCCGAGCCCGGCGGCCTCGCCGCAGTGACAACCATTTCACACAAAGCTTCTTTTCCCAGGCTGACTTCCAACGTCCAGGGGCAGTCCCAGGCTCAGCACCCCCCCCCCCAGGCCCAGCCTGGCTCTAGGTCCAGCAGCTGGCAAGGAAAAGGAGACCAAATAGAGCTTAGAGGCTAAGAGGTCAAGGGCAGCAAGCCTCTGGGACCACAAGGGCCACGTGGAAGCAACTAAGACGGGGGAAGATCATGGCAGAGGCAGGTATCACTGGAAAATAATTTTTATTGAGATCCCACCAGCTGCACAGTTTGCTCCCAACATTAGGCTCCTTCCTCCTTTGCAATCCGGTCTTTCTTAAGTGGTCCCTGTGGGAAAAGGGGCAGGCAACAAGGTTAGTGGTGGAGGGAGGCAGGCTGTCAGCAAGAAGAAGCCACAGCCCTGCGGGATCAGGTTCTGGGCCGGTCTCCCCAGCCCCAGCGGGGCAGGAGGGCAGGCTGACAGGGGGCAGCACCAGGGGGCCGCCCCAGCCCCGGGCAGCCAGGCAGGCGCTCACCATGAACGCCTTCTTCTCCTCCATCGTCTGGAAGCGGCCGTGGCCAAACTTGGAGGTGGTGTCGATAAACTTCAGGTCGATCTTCTCCAGGGCCCGCCGTTTGGTCTGCACCAGCAGGGACTGTGGGCCGAGAGGAGAAAGGGTCGGGTCTGAGGAGCAGGGCTTTCTCCGCACCCTCTCATTCCACAGGCCCGGGAGGGCAGAGCATCAGCTCCTACCACCCAGGGGCGGGGGGGTGCGGTGGGGGAGGCTGTGCCCAAGGAACCGGCCTCCACACGTGAACACAGGAACAAACGGCCGGCCAGACTGGAATTTCCTCCTCCCAGGACTTCAAAGACCACACTGAAGGAGCAGCAACCCCCTTGTCCTTTGAACTCCCTCCCTCACAGAGCTCAGCCTGTCTGTGGACCTCGCTCCTCGTGCCAGCAAAGCCCCGCCCCTCCTCCACAGGTTCAGCGCCACCCTCGGCCCCGTCTCACCTTGCGGAGGGTGAGCACTCGCTTCTTGGTTCCCACCACACAGCCTTTCAGCATGACGAAGTCATTGGTCACTTCGCCGTAGTGGACAAAGCCACCCTGGGAAAAGCAAGGCGGTCGGGTCAGGTCAGCGCAGCTCAAGCACAGGGCCAGAAACACGCGAGACACGCAGGACCCCTTCGGGTTCGGGGGTTCGCAGCCGCCCGACCACAGGGCCATCCTCAGAGGGAAAGCAGCGGGAATGTTTCTGCAGTGTGACTCCAGCACCGTGCCAGGCGTGCGCTCCAGACCCTCGTCACCTCTCGCCAGCCAACCCCAACCAGCGGGCGGACGACAGGCCGCTACAGGAAGCAGAGTTGGCTGCTGTGCACGGACCAGCTGAACGACCGCAAACACAGCCTCGCGCAGCAGCCAGGACCCAACAGCACGCAGCCCCAGCCCCTGGCATCAGAGGCTCTGAGAAGTCAGCCCCCATCACTCACCAGAGGGTTGATGCTCTTATCAGACAGGTCGTAATCGGTGGAGGCGTTGTTCTTGATCAGTTTGCCGTCCTTGATGAGGTAGCCCTGGCCTATCTTGTAGATCTGAACAAGGGAACGAGTGTAAACGCTTGTGAAGAGGAAACAGGGCAGGACTCACACACATGCTCCTCCCCTACGCAGAGCAGGCCGGCAAGACTGCCACTAGGGACACGTAACCCCACTAGGCAGTGGGCCAGCGTGCAAAGGACTCCGGGAAGACAGCTCTGACCTCAGCCCCAGGCTCAGAAGATATAGAAAAGGTGGCTGGCTCTAAACAAGACACTGCTCCCGGAGAGTGACAGAGGCCTCTTCAGCACTTCATGGCAAGAAAGGACAGCTCTCACGCCAGTCACGCCAAGGGCTGGGGGCACCAGAGCCACCTTTGAGGGCTGCACCTCACCAACCCTGCCACCCAAGAGCCAGGGCTATGCCCATCACACCAGCAGCTAAATCCCGGAGACGCCCGGAAGCTCCACCTCCAGGAGCGGTGTGACACGGACTGGAACCCCTCAACCCCAGGTACAGGGTCACCTTCCCACCCCCAAGCACCTCACCTTCTTATTGATCTCAGTGCGGTGGTGGTAGCCCTTCTGCCCAGCCCGGGCCACGGAGAAGGCCACCCGGGCAGGATGCCACGCCCCGATACAGGCCACCTTGCGCAACCCTCGGTGGGTCTTGCGGGGCAGCTTCTTGGTGTGCCAGCGGCTGGTGACCCCTGGAATAGACACATGCTGCTACTGGGGTGCCCGGCACCCATGCCACTGGCCCTTTCCTGCTGCGAAGGCCCACTTGAGTTCCAACAGCTGGGAAGCTCCACCCATGGACAGAGGTGGGTCCAGTCTGCATGCCACCCTCTAATGGCCACACCACCCCAGGCTGAACACCCGTCTAGCCGTGAAACCTTCGGCTCTGATGTGCAAAGGCCAGGCCCTGGAGAATGAGCCCTCAACCCGAGGTGGCCACACCCCCAGCCCTGGCCACCCGACCCCGGGCTGTTCTCAGAAGGAAGGCAGCAAGGAACGTTTCCGCAGTCTGACTCGGGCGCTGTGCCCAGCGCGCATTCCAGAGCCTCATCACCGAACGGCCGGGTCGGAGAGCCCTGCTCCCAGAGTCGGAACTCGGCGACCTGGGCCCCTGCCAAACTCACCTTTGTAGCCTTTGCCCTTGGTCACCCCGATGACATCGATCATCTCGTCCTGCCCGAACACCTGGCTCACGGGGACCTGCTGCTCCAGCCTCTCCCGCGCCCAGTCCAGTTTTTCGGCCACCGTGCCGCCATTCACCTGGATCTCCATGAGGTGGGCCTTCTTCTGGCGCAGAGGAAGCAGGCGCATCTAGGAGGAAAGGGATGCGGCTCAGCTCCGAGCTCCAGGCTCTCCCCCACGGAGGAAACCGCCTTCCCGTGTGCGGACTCCCCACTGGGTGCCGCTCCCCTTCGGGCTCGGAGGAGCCGACCCTGACCAGACGCACAGGGTCCACACCAAGGCAGGTCAACTTAGCCAGATCCCGGCACCACTTAGCCACATGCTCCTGATCCCTGTCCTTGGGCCAGTGCCTCTGGGTACTGCCCTCATCCCCCTTGGCCTTCTACTGTGCTCTGTGAGCTGCCCACGAGACGCATCCTTTGGAAAGCAGGATGGCTCTGCAGCCAACAGCATCTACTACAAGAGTTAGAAAAGGAAGGAAGTTCAAGCCTAACGCTTTCAGCTACAAGGTGCCCAGTGTTCTCCCACAGAACTTTCTTCAGCGGTGGGCCGCTATAAACCTGGGGTAACATGGCCAGCGCCAACTGCACAAGGCCACGAGCACTTAGGAATCAGGATGTACGGCCAGAACAGTGTTTGCCTAGACCGCAAAGGAGCACCCCCTCTACCCAAGGCAGCCGAGGGCTCCTGGGGCCAGGTGTGACGTGCACACGGTTTCCAGCCAGGCGCCTGACAATGCTCATCGTGAGCCACCAATTCCTTCAACCCGTTTCCCTGAAAATGGGGTATGGGCTCCTTAATGAAGAGCCAATAGGGACGCAGCGCCCTCTGCTGGCAAGTGAAAGACCAACCCGCAAGTGGGGGCGCTGGAGGTCTTGCTCAGACCGCTGTCCGGTGGGCCTTAGCCTGGCCCCAGGAACCCAGGCGTCAAGGGCAGACTGCGTCTGGCCCGTTTGCTGTATGACTTCACACAACCCCCAGGCTGCTCACTGGCCTATCTCCTCCACGAGGGAGTAAGTCTAGGAACCTGAACCAGTCTAGCCAACCCCCTAAAATCTGAGGCTTGGCACAAAACCAGCAGGAGCTGAGGGTCGACCCAGAAAATAAGTGAAGCTTCCAAGTCAATGGCACCTGCCATTCAAAGCCTCATTCGACCCAAGTCGCCCCCACGACAGGAAGCAGCAGGGAAGCTGCGTTCCCCATGGCACACCGGCAGGTGCTCACCTGGGTGTGCGCGATGACGCGGATGACCTGGCAGTACTTCTTCATGCTGTTGAAGTCCTTCTCCAGCTGCTTCTTGCCGTCGTCGTCCTGCCACTTCTTGCAGTACTTGGTGAAGGCCTTCTTCTTAGACTTATGCCTTCAGGAGCAGAGCAGAGTTGGGGAGGGGCCGGGTGCGGGCCTTCATCACCCAAGGGGTGAGAGGAAGGCACTCGGGCACCACGTGGGGATGGGGCTCATTGCCGGCTTCTAAGGAGCCTTTTCCACCGGCAAGCGGAGCCTGGACGGAGCTCATCGGGCAAAGCCGAGCGGAGCTGAGCAGAGGTCCACAAGGTTAATGAAAGTCACGCACATCCATCCGAACACGCGCTGTTTCTTGCTCCGGTCTAGCCACTGCCCAGGCAGGACTGGGGGAGTTGACACTGCTAGTTTCTAACTGGACTCTCAATACTTTCCAGCAGCCAAGAAAATCCTGAACACGGAGCCCTCGGCCAGCACCCACTAAGCTGAACCTGAAAGGTCTCGAGGTGCTGCTCCCAGCTCAGGTAACCATGGGCGCTTGAGCTCCACCCCCAGGAACTGTTCTGCTCCGGAGGCAACTAGCCCACCCCCAGAACAGCTCCTCCCCTGCTGGAGCCGAGAACCCCGCACAGGAGAGCCTCCCTCCAGCCCGGCCTAGGCAGGGTATGCACGGTGCCCCCCCACTTACCAGTTCTTATAGAAGCGCCTCTTGCATTCGTCGCTGATGTGCTCGGCAAAGACGGTTTTGAAGGTGCGGAGGCCTCGAGGGGTCTCCACGTAGCCCACAACACCCACGATCACCATGGGCGGTGTCTCCACAATGGTCACAGCCTCCACAACTTCCTTCTTGTTCACCTCTGCAAAGAAAGCCCACAGTCGGACTCGAGTGGCTGACCAGGATCCCCAACCAGGGGTGTTTTGTACGAATGTGAGGTGCTCATGCAGGCCAAGAGGTCAACCTGCTTCAGGTAGAAAGGCAGGTCACCGAGGCAGGGTGCACGCCAGCAGCCTGGACTCCCACGGCTGCCCTTAGTGCACAATTGTCTGCACACGCTGACATTTTTAACTCAAATAAAAAACACAGGACCCCCGTAAAGCAAATTAACAGCCTAGCTTCAGGTCTTGTCTATCACTGAGATCTCTGGGGCAGACAGTTTTCTCATTACCCAGGTAATATGTGAATACTAAAGAAGCTTAGTGTCATAGCAGCTCTGTGCTTGGGTAGGTACTAACCACCTGAAGTAACCAGGGCCGTGTCCTCCCACTTGGTGACTTTTCTACTTTGAACCTCACAAGCCAGGGACATAGGCATCATCCAAGCCTTTTAGGTTAGCGTACTTCCCTGCGCTGTGACTCTTGATAATTTACCCACATCCCGCTCCTTAACTTCAATGCATCCCTCCACCTACGAACGGCAGTGCCAGCCATTTGCAGCCTGAGAATATTCATCAGTCCTCAAATATATTAATCTCCATCCTGCTATCAAAACACTGTTGATCTCAGGTCTGCCCTCCGACATCCTGGCCCCAACGAGTCCGTCCCCTCCCCCTGTTCCTCACCCCCCACCAGCTTGGAGGACACAGCGAGTACATACTGGATCCTGGCCTATCGACCTCGCGCACGATGTGGGTCATGCCAGCCTTGTAGCCCAGGAAGGCCGTGAGGTGGACGGGCTTGGAGGAGTCATCCTTGGGGAAGCTCTTCACCTTCCCGCGGTGCCGGCTGCTGCGCTTCCGAGGCAAGAAGCCCAGGGACCCGTGCCTGGGAGCGGAGAACTTCCTGTGAGACTAGGAGAAGGTCGCCAACGTCAGTACTTGAGCCTGTACCTCATTTCCTGATTCCCAGCTGCCTAGATGGTCCCACGAGGAGCCTCGGCAATGCTGAACCAAGCCAGAGACCCAGCAACCCCAGGTACACGCCGAACTGGGTTTGCGACAGGCAGGGTCACCCATCCTGGAGCCGCGTTCAACTCGGCTGGCTGAACCTTCATGCCAAGTCCTCGTCCTCCTCTTACAATCTAGCAAGGTGAATGAACCACCCACTTCTTCCCTAAATCAAAAACCCGCACCACCCGATTTTAAAATAGCTTAACAGGTGCCTTTGTGATTGAGTCACAAGGAGCGACCACAAAAGGGACTTCTGGGACAAATGGCTGGGGAGCCGGCGACCCAAGGCTCCCCTGGCTGCCACGGTACAGAGGCCCCTAGAACTCGATAGAGCCGAATCAGAACATGACGATCAGCACAGAGTCTCTGTCCGCCCGTCAATCAGTTCATCATCTGCGGCTTCTGGGAACTCTAGAGGCCTGGGGAGTTGTCCTGCCCACGCCGCTGCGGACG